CGATCTATAGTTTTTGGCTCATCGGAAAAAATTTTCAGCAGGTTAAAAGTGAACAAACATCTTGTCTAAAAGCTTTTCGATCGATCCATTATTTAAACAATAATAAACTTACATGTTCACAAGTAAAAAATTTTTTATTTTTTTCAAGAAGATTTTTATAAATAGATGATAAACTCTGTTTGTAGTATAATGGAGAAAATGATGTAATTGAATAATCAATCAATTCGGATTGTAAATAATTGATTAAATTAAATGATGTTAATTCATTAGAATTTTTTTCGTTATTCAAATTATTTATTGAACTTGTTGATTGATATTTTCGTTTTCTTTCAGTTCTTGTTAACGAAATATTATTAACTTGAGAATTAGCAATTGTGTAAACATTCGATATTGGACATAAAATAAGATGAATACCACTTTTTATTAAAATATTTTCCATATGTTTTGATGATAAAATTATTTCATATGCTTCATATAATCTTTCAATATTTAAACCTTTAATAACATCATCAATTAATTGTAAATCTTTATAATTATTCATGGTTGCTTGATATTGTATGCGATAATAACGTAAGATTTTTGTATATTTATAAAAATTATGCCAATATTTTCGACAATCATCTTCTTCACCATAAAAATCAATACCAACAATTTCATTAGGATAATTACGAGCAAAACAAATGAATTGATTTAAACTTTTTATATTATTCCAATTACAACCTTTACAAATAATTTTAATTATAAAGAAATAGAAAGGAAAAAAAAAGAATTTTCTTACTAAGAATAATTTTTATATGAATAGGTAAAAAAGATTTCATTGTTGTTTTATCTAGAATTGTATTTGATTCTGTTAAAGTATCTATTTCATTATTGACAAGATTAGTAGATGTAAAAAAACGAATACAATCAATGATAACTTCCTGAAAATATCTTTCAATAAAAATTAGATTATTTGTTTGTTTTTTTTTGAAATTTTTTTTAGAACAATTTACTATAACATCTTTGAGTTTAATATTAGAAATTTTATTGCCAAAATTGAATATATCAGGTCGAAAAAGAATTTCTGTATAGATAATACGTTGTTGTCGTTGATCATTTATAAGTTCTTGAAATATTCGTTGTAATAAACAATGATCATTCTAATATAGAATAATACTTAATATTAGAATTTTCTTTTTTAATATAAATTTACTTGAAAAATCTTAGCAATTATTTGTTCATTATTATTAAAATCAATACCTTTAGAAAATGCTAATTGTTTTAATGTTTGTTCTCGTATAGCACCATGTAATAAAAGATTAAGTTCTATTTTAGGATTATGTTCTGAAGGTTCAAATTCGTTTAACCAATCCAAATGACAACGTGTCTGTAATTCTGCCTTAAGTTCATGTACATGATCTATTAATTGTTTTCTATAAACTTCTTCAGATATGGAATCAGATGATGATAATGAATTTGTAAATATACTTGAATCACCCAATAAAAGACTTGCCGGATCAGTATTTGTTGAGTCATTTGAAGCCATTTGTGTTTCTGAATCATTTTCCATGAGATTAAAATTGATATTTATGAAACTTGATAACTAATGCATTTGAGATTTCTATGATCATAGAACATCGATATTCGATAAATATATCTTGATTGACAAATAAACCTGGCGCCTTATAAAACGTAAATGAGATTAACATTAATTGAAATGAAATTCGAAAGAAAGAAAATTAACTACATGATTATCATTTATCTATTCAAAACATATTTTTACGTTTTCTTAGATATTAATTATATTTAAGATTTTCATCTATTAAATATACGTTAATTTTATTTTTTATTCCTATCCTTCATAAGCTTGAATAATCTTTAGTATGTAATTATTTGTTTTTTTGTCCTCTACGAACATTTTGATATATTTATTATTCATATATTGCTGAATGTATAGACTTCACTTTTGTACGTAAGTTTCCTCATATGAAAAAAATAGAGATAATTCTCTTTTCTTACAGATATTGAACTGATTACCTGTGTCATTTTGTTCCTAATATTATAATTACATATTCTTTAGTACATTTTCTTGTTATGGAAGTTGTACCCTAAAATGATAATTTGTTCTACTATTCTTAATCAAATATCTATATAATCAGATGTTAAGGATAATGATAAATATCATTTATGAGTTTGCTATATATTTAGAAAATTTTGTAGCTAATTTTATATTATGTAATTTTGATTAAGTTAAAAAGTTGTCTTCTTCTCCTCTGTATTCCAAACTATCGTTGGGACAAAGTGAAATTCGTTATGTAACTGTTTCGAAAATGATTGGACTCGATTTTAATTCATTTACTTAACAAGTTGATATAACATCACAAGTAACTTTTGTTAATTATATTCGATCAGAGCCTCAAACGAGTTAAGTTGATCTTAGATCTGGAGATCGTATTTTACGAGTAAATGGAATCAATATGACAAGTTTTGAACATAAATATATACGTAAATTAATGTAATTGATGACTTCAATCGTATTTACAGTAGCAAACCATCCAAAATATTTATTACTATTACAACAATCAATAATTGACATTTAGGCAAAAGCATCAGATATCTTAAAAAGCAAAAATTAAACAATAAAAATACAAAATTAATCTAAATTTTATTTAGAATCTCTTATAACATTAGGTAAAGAAACTGGTTATAATCTGAATAATCATCGATCAAGTCGATTTAAATTTTAAAAAATGCATCCATCAATACAGCATGATATCTTTATGAAATATTTTATACAATTCAAGTTGATCAAACAAATAATGAAGATTCATTCAAAGCTAAATTATATCGATTTCATAAGAGTAAATTTTATTATGATTATAGATTAATATTTTTAAATATTATTAATAAAGTTACAGAAACATTACCTTCTGATCGAGTAAATAATTTTATTGTATTTATTGGTAGAACAAAATGCAGAAAGAATGAGACATAATAATATTAAAATTATTATTCGAGCAATGATATTAGCATCAAATCATGTTGAACTCAATGTTCTATCAAAACTCATATATTCGAAGACGTAAGATATTGCAAGAAAAACGTTTTTATTGATTGGTCAATAATGATGTTTAAAAAAAAGTGTTATATGACTTTTTTTGTTGAAATAATGAAATAAAAGACTTTTTGAATACTCTTTTAGATTATTTATCATTGTGAGTAAAGATAAAGTTGTTTTCTTATTGTTTTATATTTTTTATCGTGACATTTCTTTTAAATCATAAGATGAAAATTTTGTTTTTTTTTTGTGCACTAATTTTCCCATATATATTAAAATCAGGTTTTTTTTCCTAATATAGATGTTCTATAAAATCTTATGTTACATTTAATACTCATATTCAGCTCTTTCTTTTGAAAGCATGTCTTTTGAAAACCGTCCAGGTCATTAACTAATGACATCTGCATTTATTTTTGGACTTTGTATTCGATTTACCTGTGTCATAGTTTTAACTTTGTAGTTTGTCTATGCAGACAAAATTGACTTCATTTTTTTTACAAATAGAACACATAATATATGACTCAGATGTTTTGTGAAAAATAATACTCACGTATCTATGAGACATGCGATGACGTCATGATCTCACGGACTTTTTATAAGAAAGAAAAACTTTAAATTTTTTTTAATATTCAAATATTCCTGCTCTTAGCTTCCTTGAACGTCTATTAGAACGAACAAGTACTAGTCTGCTTCACCACGTAGAGGTGACAGGAATGTAAACGAAGCAGATGCAATTTTTTTTTTTTGGTTTTTTTTTATTTTTCCAATTTTTTTGTCGATACATTATCGTTTTTGGTTAACTTGATTTTTTTGGATTTTTCCATTTTTTCTTTTTTTTGCGACCACGATTCGCAATCATGTTTTTGGTTTAAATTGATTTTTTTGAAGATTTTTTAATTTTGCAGTTTTTTTGTCGACCACATATTGTAATCGTTTTTTGATTAACTTGTTTTTTTTAAATTGTTTTTAGTTATAATTGTACGTTAATGAAATAATTTATCACAGCATTTATTTTAAACTTATTTTTCTTCATTTGATAATTTTTTTGTTCGGTTTAAAATTTCCTAATAATATACTTAATACGAATCAATATCACAACAGAGCCACATAGAGACAGATAAACGATCAGCTTATGTACACATTAACGAACATTTATGTATAATATTGGTAGATTCATTTAATTGTTGAACTTTAACTTCATCGTTAATGGGAACGTCGAGTGATGATGTATCCATGACAATAATTTCATAAGAACGAGCCATCATCAAGCGAAATAGCCCACTTTTAAACCGACGATAGTCAAAACTGATGATTTAAGTTATGTTAGGTTAAAAATGCCAACAATATGATTACATTACACATCTTTTATACGTAGACAACCAAAAAAGAGAGAGAGAGAGAAAATGAGAAATAAAGTCAACAAGTCGGTAAATAGATATGACTCCATTTTTCTCTTTCTCTGGTTTTTTTGCTCCATTGCACACCATATTTATTTTTAGAATTGGTTATTTCACAATGACAAGTAATAGACAATCGTCTATATCTTTGAAACAGAACAGATTTCGTCATTACTTCAATGGGAAAAAAAAGCCACTACTGGGAATTTTCAAATATCCTACATTTCTATTATTGGCATTTTCCCAACTCATTAAAATAATTAATAGTCAATAAAACAAAAAACAAAAAAACATGTTCTTCTCGGTAATACATTTATCAATAATTTGAATTTTTCCGATCATTTGCAAAATTAAAACTAGATGTCACTAAATGACAGTCGGGACAATAATGAGTTTATGTTTAATTTTTTTATTGGTTTTCATAAAGAACAAATAAAATCATTTTCTTTCTCTTTCTTTTTTTTTCGTAGAAAGTTAATTTATTCGTTCAATAAAATGTTCGACTCAAAATTTTGAAACAACTAATAAAAAACCTTTAGATAAATTTGTTTTAAACCAGCATAATCATGGCTGCTGGTCCATCAACAACTAGTAATAATCCTCCAATATTACCAATGCATGATAAAACTCCATTATCTCGTTTACTTGAAGCAGCTGTACAAAAAACTTATCATGAACTATATACTATGGCAGATGTGTATGTATTTATTTAGTTTTTATCGAATTCATATTTTTAATCAAGAACTTTTCTTTTTTCATTTCAGTTTACCCAACAAAACTAATATAGAACGGTAAATATCTAAAATATAGAAAACACAAAAACATATTCAAATGAAAAATCTTTTTTTGTTTTATTTAATTATTAGAAAAAAAGAATTAGTAAAATTTGCTTGTCGTACTCGTCAATTATTTATACGAATTTTAGCTGTAGTTAAATGGGCAACTACAGCTGGAAAAGTAAATGCATGCGAGGTAAAGATTTTGTTTTTTTTAAAAAAAAAAAAACTAATTTATATATTTATTTTTGTTGAAATTTTCTATAAAAGACTATACAACATTTTTTGGAAAATCGTGCTCGACTTATACGTGAAACGTCGGATTGTTTAGCTCAATTAGCACGTTTAAAACTACTTGATGCAAGGTAAATTTATATTTAATTAAATAAGTTAGAAATAAATTGAATATATTTTTTTTAGATTACCGAATTTTCCTATAACAGATGCAGTTGATGCATTAACACTTGGTTCAGTAAATTTTTTACCTGAACGATTATCGGTTTGTTGTTGAAAAGAAAAATCTTTTTTTTTTTGAAGTCGAATATTAAAAATGATTTTGTTTTTAGGAAGCAACAACTCCTTTTATACCAGCTAGTGAAACTGAACGACAAGAAATTTTACCACGTCTTCAACAAATTCTTACAGCAAGATTAGCTATTGCAGAATTACCTATTCAATTTACTAATGTCACAATTAGTATGTTCAAAATAAAAACGAATCTTTTATATAATTTTTATTTTTTTATTTTATAGAAAATGGAATAGTAACATTAGCTGTTGATGGAGAATTTGAAGTTAAATTAGGCATAAAAAGTGATAATCTATTTGCTTCATGGCATGTTTATAAAACAAAATTATTTTTACGCGATCCTGAAGAACCAGGTATAAGGAAAAAATAATTATAATTATTTATCAATAGTTAATTTTCACTATTGTGAAAAGGAATCCTGAAGTATAGAAGTAGAAATTTCGACTCCCTACAGACACACAGATTGCCAAGAGACTGGTAACATCAGTTTAGGCGAAGAACAAACATAAGAATCAGAATTAAGTATAAGAGTAAAAAGAAAAACAACAAATAAATAAAATTTAAAGGAATAAGGACATACAGGAACAGAAGACAATACATGTGACGAACCATAAAATTCTTTCGAATCATATTTTTGATGAATATACCCTTGGGTAGTCAGCTGCACAAAACACGAGGTTCTCAGTAGATTTTTTTTTTGTCTGCAGAACTTGTTTGTCAATAATCGCTGAGTAGTAGTCAGGATTAGCCAAAATTTTTGAATATTTTTTTTTATCAAAATGATCAGCTCCAGAAGCGAAAGTCTTCTGAGAACTTTGTGTTTTTTTTGCGGTTGACTACTCATAGAAGTATCCATCAAAAATACGATTTGCAAACATTTCGTCATTGATAGATAGAGAGACAAAAAGATGCATCTCTGAGAAACAGATCCGAAATCTTCGTTCTTTCAATCATGATTTAGTGCATGCATTGTAATTTTAATAGTTTATCATAGCTTTTATTTAGACATACATATTTGTCTGTTGTTAATTATAATGTAGTACGATGAGGAATGATGTTCATTATAGAACCATCTAACAAATCTGCAAGTCGTTTGTTAGGGCAGGTCCATTAGATGTGTATTCAAGCCTCATTTATTTTTACAAACCTATCCGTATTGTGAACAGTTGGCAAGATCATTTGTAATTGGAAGAGGAAATCTTTATCATAGACACTTTAACAATGCTTCCTGATAACATTTATCGACACTTTAGTGAAAGAATTAGTGAAGAATTGTGTTTCACATCTTAATCCCACAGCGATTGCACTTATTTTTAAAATGAATTTTTGATTTTTTTTTCTTTGTAGAACAAGAACTTGTTCATCCTTTACAGGTAATTTGAAATGTACAATAGAAAAAACAAAACTAATTTCAAAGAATTATTTTACATAGATGCAACTATTAACAAATCATATTCAAAGTTGGCTTGTTGAATCGGAAAATCCATTAGTTGAACTTTATCGATATTTGCGTATGTTATTTATATTATTTATTTTTCTAAAACATATTATATTTTTGTTTTTTTTTTTCTTCTATAATAGATTATTATTGTCAATCATTACGTTTACATATTTTAAATGAACAAGTAGAAAAACAATATAAATGCAATATAATAAATAGATAAATTAAATTAAATTTTATTTTTTTGCTAGGCTAGTCGAATACGTAATCGAAGTTTAAAACAAAAACATTTATATTTATCAAGTTATATACCATGTAAAAGTCTTAGTATTGAATATTGGAAAGAATATAATTTTAATAATCAACAAAAAAAGACAATTATTAATGAAAAAATTCGAGGTTAGTCTATTTAATTATAATTCAAATTTAAAATTAATTCGAAAACAAAATTTTGTTTTTTTAGATATTGGTATGACAATTTTATGTGATGATGATGGAAAATTTCAAATAATTCATTGGCCACCATTACCTGTTGAAGATAGTGTTGCAATTTTACAAATATTAGAAGTAAAATAAAAAAAATTTCATTGATTTTTCTGTATTTGATAATTCTTAGAAACCAACATTTACTATGGAAGAAATTCTTAATCGAACAATTTATGCAAGATGTCAACGTCGATTTGAAGTTTGTTATTTTACAAGAACAAAAAAAAATTTCTTTTTAATGTGAAAATTATTTTTAGGAATTAAAAGAAACTATTTTATCAACTACTTCAGCAAACAGTAGGTTTTTGATGCTTATAAAGAAATCGAATAAATCATTTTTATGATGAGTCTTACTCCATCAAATAGAGAGTAGACAAGAATTCGTACCGATGAGTTTTCAAAATAAAAGTTATAGTCTTCTTCAGAACATCTTGAAAAATTGACTTTTTAGGTTTAGCTTCGCACCAATTGAGTTCTTAATACAGTTAGTTCATAGAGAGAATGTCCGATTTTCTAGTATCTGCTCTCCTGAAATACTAATATTGAAAATTTTTTATTTGAAAAAGGAAATTTTGTTAGATTTTTATCCAGATTTAATATTTGTTAAATATCTATCTACCGAATAATTCATAATTGTTTGAGAGCGATGTGCAGAATCTATTTCCTCAGCTATGAATATAAAGGAAAAGCCGAATTTCCTTTTTTTCACTCGTTGACGTACATCGGTAGATTGGGTACGTCTGGCTTGACAAATAAAAACCTGTAGTTTCCTAGGGCAAATATTTTTTTCATTTTATTACAATTTTTAAATGTTTCAAAGCTAGAATATAAAATATGAACAATTCATTTATTCAATTATATTTTTTGATATTTAGTTGAAATTGATCCATTGATTCCAGCATTAAAATGTGAATTATTACCTGAAAGTACATCTGAAGAAATTTTATTTATATCAATAAGTCCATTTTCTGGTTTATATAAAGTTGTTTGTTATATGGGTAATCAAATTGAAGAATTAATTTATTTTTTTTTTGAAAATTTTCTTTATTAAGAAACTCGATATTCACAACAAATTGAATATGCCCTTAATCGTGATCCAGGAAATTTAATTGATGCAATTAATTTATTTAAGTATGAAAAAAGAAGACCGAAATTATAATCAAATAAATAATTTTATTTTGTTTTTGTTTAAGAATTTGGTTAATACAACAACGTATTCCATCACTTCTAGCTCATATTAATTGTCATGTTTATACACGTATACCATCATTAAATCCAAAACACGAATTAATTATTCCATTTATCAATAATGGTATTTATATTGAATTAATACATAATGAAGGATATTATATTGTAAGTTTTATAAGAAAAAAAAATGCTAACAGATTTTTCTTTTGTTGTTTTCGTTTTAGCTTGTACATGTATCTGATGTAAATCAATTATTAATTCAATATTATTTATTAATTGTGGAGAAACGTTCATCTATACATGATCCACTGGTAATTCAACAACAAAATTTACAATATAATCAACAAACAATGATACCAAATGATGAATATGCTAAATGGATGTTAGAACCACTTGTTCTATGTCCATTAGATCCAACAGCATTTTTAAGAAAAGAATTTATTGAAGTTTGTTGAAGAATTATTTTTTTTTTTTTGTTTTGTTTGTATATAATGAAATATTTGATTTATTTAGCTTAAAAGTACATTTCAATTTGGAAAAATGAAAGAAACAATTGAAGATGATATGGATATTAAACAAGCGAGATCAGTAAATAAAAATAATAAATATTTGAATTTTATTTTTTTTCCTAATTTTTTTGTTTTTAAGACATCAGTTCTTTCACTTAAATTATTATTAAAATTAGTTAATTATTATGATGAAATGCTTACATTTACATTTTTAAAAGAAGAAGTAAATCTTCTGTCTTTTTTATTTATTTATAACAAATTACTTTTTTTTTGTCTACTTTAGTTTCAACGTAAAAAAACTATATGTAAAGGTATTATCTATAGTCCATGGACAGGTATTCCAAATCTCGATATTGTTCGGTAAGATATTTATTTTATATAAAAAAATAAAACAATATTTTCAATTATTATTTAAATAGAACATCAACTGGTGATGATTCATTTTCATCAAATATTGAAATTTCAAATTATGTAAATGAATGTTTTTGGCCTCGTATTCTATCATGTACTATTCGATTAGTACATACATTACGTGAAACAAATCATGCACATAAACATAGTGAACGACAATGGACTTTAGAAGTAAATTAATATTTTAGTTCCCTCTCTCTCTCTCTTGTATTCTTAATCTAATGAACTATGTTTTTTGTTTTTAGTTAAATTTACCTAATAATAATTATTTTTACAATTCTATTATAAAAAGTATGTAGATAAATTTTTATACAGGATGAACTATAAATAATACTGCGAGAAAAAAAAATTGAAATATCTATATAAAATTCAACAGTTAAACTAACCCTATTCTGAAAATTTACTGTATATGGATCAATGTAACGTCATTGATAAATATTCTCTTAGATAACCACTGAAAATTATCTTAGATAGGTACAGATATTTTTTTCTTACTTGATAAAAGGAACAATTTCTTTACTAAGCTCAATAATAGTTCTTACGAGGAGACCGTTTCAAGTGATAAATCATTTTCCAGTTCAGAGTCTATGCATCAGGTAGACTCCAGTGAACTATGGAAAGGACCAAAAGGATATGTGGCCACTGACCTTTTTGCCAAAATTATAACCATTTCATTGGAATTTTAGGCCAAGGAATGGTGTAGACAAATTAATTAAGGGACGATATATCCACAGAGAACAGTCTGCTTGTAACTAGAATATGATGAAGACTCGAGTTCACAAGAATGTTTCATTCGTGAAATATTGAATTTCCAAAAAATCTGAGATTCTCACAGAATGTAAACAATTTTTGAAAATTCAATATCTTATAAAGAATTCATTATTTTGAGCTCAAAATTTCAGAATGTTCTATTAATAAGTAGATCTATCTGTGAGCAAATTTTTGAAATCGAAATGCTATCATTCGATTTGTTAGTGTATATCATGTCATAATCTAGAATTTTTAAGGGAAGATCTAACGACACTTATCCTATTCAGACGTTTCATATTTCACTGGTATGTACCTTATGCATATAGTCCAAACTCAGACACGATTTATCACTTCAAACAGTTCTCTCGCTAGTAAAAGTATTTACATTGTTCATATGAGCAAAACAAACTTTGGATACACTTGTATCATTAATTAGAAAATGAGACCTTTTAAATGAATCGAGGCGGGGATATTTCAATTTCTTTTTTATCATTATATTATTTATAGTTCATGCTTTAACTTGTTATTTTATTTTATCATTGATTTTAGCTCCATATAATTCAATAATTCTTTGCAATCAAATACTAGCAAAATTATATTCGAAAATAGTTGATTATATTCATAGTGAACTTCGAGCTGCATTTGAATTGACACATCTATTTGAAAATTATGCATTATCATTACCAGGTTTATATTGATGAAAGAAAAAAAAAAGCATTTGATTGTTTGGATTTTTTTAAAATAGAATCAACTGATCTTCGAGCAATATCTGAAGTAAATTCATTTAATTTCTTTAAATCTACAATTCATTATGGACCAAATTTTGCTTTTGCTGTTCGTATAATAAAAAAAATATTTGGTTTTTCTTTTTAATAATTTCTTTTTTTTTGAAAATATTTAGGTAACATTAACACATAATAATAATAGTAATAATAATAATAATAATAATAATACTACTAATAATAATAATACTAATCAAAATCAACAAGATTTAAATTCAAATCTTGGATGGACATTTGATTTACGTTTTACAACAATAAATCATAAATTTTTAACAACGGCTCATCAAATATTAAATGGAAAATTAATTCAATTTTTAAATCGAACACGTTCATTAAAACAATTTATTCGAGTAAAGATGAATAATTTCTTTTGTTTTTAATATTTTTTTATTTTCTTTAGTTATTACATATGACAGCTATTCCAATATCTTCCATAGCTCGATTAAATTGTTTCAATCGTCCAATTGTTTTTCTTAATCAAGTTAGTTTTAAAATAATAAATTCTATCTGTTCTTGTTTTTTGAGTCAGCCATAGGTGACAAGAGCATCTCTTCTAATTTCAATAAGTTTTTTGCCTATAGATACTACATAGTGCTCTAATAAAAATTCCTACAAAGGATTTCGATTCTTATTACTTACTCTCATCTTTTTCTTTTGTTTTTTTTTGATTAATTTGAGATATTTTTATAGGGTTCATGTATTCAATCAATACTTACATTAGTTCCTTATACTGAATTTCGATGGCGTCTTATTTTTGGTCAAATATTTGCACTTGATATTCAAATATGTGGGCCTAATCTAATACTTATACGTGATGGCGCATACAGTGTACAATTAAACAGTGTATTACCGGAACTTTCACCAATACCTAGACTTAAAGTAAAAGTTTTTTCTTCTTTTTTTTCTAGTAAAAAAAAAATTAAAAACTAAAATATTTCTTCATAGGAATTTTTATCTAAATATGCTGATGATCGAGGTTTAACATTTGAATTTACACATATAACAGATCGTTTTCGTGATCGAGATTTTATTTTACCTGAATTACAATTACCTCCACCATCATTTTCAATATCATCATCAACAACAACAATAACAAATCCTCCATCAAATCGCCCATTAACTTCAGGAAATGCACCAACTCCACATTTATTACATCCAGTTGGAACACCCGGTTCATCACTTAATCCATTAACACCAGCTAGTGTTGGTCCAAGTAGTCAATCTCAACAACAAGCAAATTCACCATCACAACCAATAATTGCACCAAGTCCCGGTTTTATGAGTAATGGTTCACCATTGATGATGCCAACAATAGGTTCACCAATGACAAATAATACTACAACAACACAATTAACAGCTCCATCACCAATGGGTATAACTACACAATCACCAGGAACTATTTATGGTATATTTTTAATTTTTTTGTTTTTTTATATGGAAGTCTTTTGTTTTTTTTTGTATGTTTTAGAAATGCCATATATAAGTCCAGCAGCTCGAGCATCTGGTTCATCATTTCCAGGTTCATTTCTTGGTCCATCACCTGGTACACCTGCAAATACAACAATGACATCTGTAGCTACTCCACTAAATATTCGATCGGATGATATTAGTATAATAATAAAATTCTTTCTTATTTCTTATTTAAAAATTTTTGTTTTTGTAGATAATAAACAATCATCAACATTACATAGTTATAATCGATATTTATATACAAAACATTATCCTGTTTATATAAGTCAACAAACATTTTTTCGAATGCTTTTTACACCAGATAGACATCAATGGTCAAAATTTGAATCATTTCTTGCATCATCAGTTCTTGTTAAACATTTTTCACGAGCTGTTTCTGAACCATATGATTCAAATAATCCAACAGTAATTTAAAAAATAAAAATTCAGTTTTTTATGTTTTAATTTTTCTAAATATCGATATTTAGGTTCGTGCTGTACCAAATGAACAAGATACATATAGAATAGAACATTTATCATTACAAATAGCATTTGTATTTGATATTAATACAGCAACATATAGAATTTATTGTACATCATTAATGGATTCATCATCTCAACAACAACAACAACAACAACAACAACAATCTAATTTTGGTTGGTCATCAGATGAACTTCAAACAATGGAATTATTTTTTAATGAAAATTTTTTTCCTTCATCAATATTATCAAATTCACAAAATCAAATAATTATGCCAACAATGGATATATTATCATTATCAGCAGCACAAAATAGACATACAGCCATGGGAGCATTTGAAAAAATGCTTGCACATATTCATCCACGTGTATTACGTGATCTTGTAAAAATTATTCGACTTGAACAGGTAAATTAATTAATAGTTTATTGGTTTGTAATTGAGAAAAAAAAATTTATAATGTGTGTTACTTTTCAAACATATGAATTTAAGTCAGTAAAATAATATTATTTGTTTTTTCTGTTTTGCTCTGCCATTGTATTTCTCTAAAATTATAGATCATGATTATTTTAATATGGTTAGATAGAACATTGATATCCCTATTGAATCGTATAATTTTCATTTCATTTATCTTGTCTCTTGCCGAAAAATTCGATAAACTTCGATTTTTTTTCTCTTAAAAATGCTTTTCTCCATGATATCTATTCATCTCTGAGCAAGAAAATTACATGTCCATCTGCCATTATGTATATGAAAATCTAATAACATATTTATTTCGTATCAATTTTATTTGTAGAAAATAATTTTTTGACATAAATTTAGTGATTAAAAATAAATTTATAAAATTATATGTATTGACTTTTTTCTTAGAATCCTGAAAATCATCATTTATGGCGAGCACGTTGGTGTTTAACAATACCACAAGGAAATGGTTTTATACAAGTTGGTCATCCAGCAATATCTTTTCAACCTGGTCAAGCATCTGTGTTTCTTGTATGTTTTAATTTTTATTATTTATGATAATATATATAATATTGAAATATTTTTTGTAGTTTCAGTTTATTCCTCGATTAAATCGAAATGAATTTCAAATGTCTAGTAATATAAATACATTATCATTTATTGTTCCATTAACACATGATACAACAACAAATCAAACAACATTATGGGATAGAATTAATAAACAACCATTAATGGGTAATGAACATAAATATAACAATGTTATGAAAATTCTTAATAATTCACGTGAAACAACAACTAAATGTATGTTAATTTTTTATTTTTTTTTTATTTTTTTACATAAAATGAATTTTTCTTTTGTTATTATTCTAGATGAATGTTCATTATTTCCATCGATTGTTGAATTAATAAGTTATTTACAAGTTTCACCAATATCTAATTATCCATCTTGATAAATCTTTTTTTTTTATCAATTTGTATATTTCATATGAAGAAAAAAAAAGGCAAAGATAAATAAGCAGAACATTATTGTATAAACTCTTAAATTCTATTCAAGACAAAATGGAAAAAAAACAAATAAGAAAATCATTGTGTGTGTTCATTTATGTGTAAAATTATTTATTATTAGCTTTCGTAAATATTATTATCAAAGCGGCATTAAATAAAATATATATGATTATTTTCCGTCGTTTCATCTAAAATTATATTCATTCATTTTGTTGTTGTTGTTCTTTATTCTTATTTAAAAAGAAAAGTATCAGGTTTCGATGTCTTTTTGTTTTTTTTCTTTTTGCTATAAAAAGTTTAAGAAAAAAAAACAAATCAATGAATTTAACTTGTATAAGTGAAATTAAGATTTTTGTCTGTCCAACTTGTTTTTTTTTTTAAGATTGTCTTTTTTGTTCTTTTGTTTGATGAAAAAATTATTAAAACGTATTCAATTAATTCATCGAACAAATGATGGAAAATATAAAAAATTTTGGCAAAATATTGATTTTAATAAAATGTTTACACTTGAACATGTTTGGAATGATATAAATCAACAATTTATTTTAGGATCATCAAATAATAAATATAAATTTTATTGTTATAAAACAAATAAATTATTACCAACATGGTATCATGTTAATTTATTGAATGATAATGATCAAATATTGATTGATGAAAGGTATTTTTAAAAAAATGAAAAGATGTTAGAGATGTAGACATCTGTATGCATGTATTTTGTCAGGAATATTAATTAGAGACTGGAGTCTTAACCCAGTTGCTCAAGTATAAACGAAATCTATATTACTTTTACGCTTCATAATTTTATAATGGACAAGCTTTGTTGAATCAGACAATTACATATCATGTTTCAGTTATTCATGTTAATAATATCATGAAAATTCATAAATCCTTTTTAGAATTGTGGCGATTTTACTTTGACCATTGGTATGAAGATAGAACCATTTGCTACTTTTTGTAGATGATAATTCGAGTAATACTTCAATGAATCAAACATGAAGTCTTAGAGAAGATTTTCTTGTCGTTCGACATAATTTTACTTACAAACTTCAGAAACGAATATTCTACTATAAATTTCGACCAAAGAAAATATATAAATTGAACTGTAGCTCCATGTAAACCAATCAATAGATGTTATTCATTATAATTCTTGGCAATGTATGTGCAAGTCGTTTTTCACATTTCTTAAGAGATCTCTAGCTTGTGAATAAAAACGTTGAATTATTATAACATTTATACTGATAGAATTTTTATTAATTCAGAACCAAACAGATTGGTTTCACTCATTTCTGCATGTCCTATATTCAGCAAAAAAAAGTTGATTCGTTTTTTAAGTGAAAATTTTAGAAATCATCAAACTTTAATGTTAAGACAATTTTCAAATCAAGTTTTTTGTTATCGAATAGTTTGATTAAGACAATCCGAATTTATAGAGACTTCATTTATATTTAATCACAAATTAAAACGATCATAAAACTATGTTTCTATGATATTATTTAGTGCACAAACAAATAAACCAACAGTAATATCTACACCAACTAAAGCTGAATGTTTTAAAAATATATCGAAAAAGAAACAATTAAAAGTATCTATTACAAATCGATCATTTATCATTACCAATAAATATTCAATACCGAATACCTTCTATGAACAATGGGAAGAAGGTAAAATGCACAAAAATACAAACAATTGTCGGATGATATTCTAAATGATTGTTCTTTTTTTTTTTGCTTGTTTTTGTTCATTACTTCTTATTAAAATGAATTGATCTAATTTAGTTCTATTTCAGATTATATATAAGTTATGTTTTTTCGTGATAAAGTAGCCAAAGTATCTCTAAGAGATATGCTCGAAATTCAAGAGCGTCTCGGAACGAAAAAGTAATAGACCAAAAAATTAACAAATTCGATTTTTTAATTCTTAGAATTATTTTTTTTAAAATTAGTTTCACAAAAGCTTTACAAAATGATGAAGAAGTTGAGAAAGATAAAGATGATGATAATGAACAAACAATAAATGAAACTAAAAAATCAACAACTCTAAATAAAAAAATATTGAATCAACCAATATCAAAATCAGAGTAAATCATAATTGTTTCGTTGATGTTTGTTTATTTTAAATAATATGTTTAATAAATAGACCTATTGAAATGTCATCAAAACGACGACCATCAAAACGTGATCAAGTTCCTGTTCATATGCGTGGTAAAAAAAGAATTGTTGATCCACGTTTTAATGAACAATTTGGTGATTATGATGCTAAAGAATTTCGACAATCTTATCATTTTATTACGGATATGCGACGAAAAGAATTAAATGTAAAATATTTATTTATTTTGTTTTTTTACGATTATTTAATTTAATTTCATTTAATTTAGGAACTTAAAAAACAATTGAAAGCATGTCAAGATCCAAATGAAAAAATGAAATTGAAAACAGTCATTAATCGTCTTGTATGTTCTTATCATCTTACATTTACAGTAGTTCAGTAAATCTTAGTCTCAAGCAGTAACTTGAGGTTGATAGACTTTAATGTAAAAGGAGATTATGATGAAAACATTGATTTTTTCCTTAGGACCCAAAAAAAGACTTTTTTAAAATACTTTTCTGGTTTTCAACTATTTAAATACGTTAATCTCCATCCTCTTATTAACAAATAACGGTTCGCATGTCTATATTGTGTCATAGATAGGGTACTCCAATCTGCTGTAATTTTGAGGTGCGGGAAGCCTTCATTGTCTGGGATGATCTTAACATGAGTTTCTGCCTAGTCGATGACTGCAATTGTGAAATCTTCAAGGAAAACTTGATTAGAGCAGGTGAGAAAATCCTAAAACAAATGGTTAAAATTACTGGGAGATATGGATCATTTTTCGATGATTTCTATCAACTTTCATCTAGAGATTACTTCATAAATCAGACAAACGAAAACCATTTGACATGGTATGTGTATTGGTGACAAAGGCAACATTGAACTCCCGAACAAGTAGTCTGACATCATGAGATTTGTTTTCGATATTGAAATATTTTCGTTTGAAGAAAAAATCTATGTTGATCTTCTAACTTCTCCATATGAAGATCGATCAAGTCTTGATTAGTTCTTGTGATTAGAGTTCCATACGCTCTATTTGGTGCCAAACTATAAGACTAAGCGATAGAATTTCAGATACTTTTTACCTGACAATGGGACTTTTTGCGACTACTATATTTTCTTAATTTAATATATTGAATTATTTTTTTTGTTCTTTATCAATAGAAATCTCAAGTTAAAAATGTCGATGATTTAGATCGAGTTGAAAAAATTTCTAAAGATATACAAGAAAAAAGTGAACAACTTGCTTATGATGGTGAATCTACACCGTATATAACTAAAGGTAAATATTGAATCAATTGATTGATTTAAATATATATATATATATATATATATTCATTTATATTTAATAGAAGTTCGTAAAGTAATGAAATTAGCAACGACTTATACAGATTTAAAGAATACAGGACGAATTGATGCTTATTTAAGTAAAAAACGAAAACGTTTAGCAAGCAAGAAAAAGAAACAAATGCCAACAAGACGTGTCAACAACGATGAAGATGAAGATGATTAATATTTCATTTGTTTTCTTTTTCTCGATCATTTTCTTTATTTAATTGTTCATGTTTGTTATATTGTAAGAGATCTTTGCTCTTACACATATACGCTCGTTTTTTTTTATTGCATTCAACATCATTAAACATAATGCATATGCAAACAAACAAAAAATAAAACGTAAAATATTTATTTTTAGTTGATGTTCTATATAAATCAGTTCAAGAGCCTAATCACGATTTTACTATAAAGTTTTCCTTATCTCAGTTAAAAATACTTCATTCACATATGCAAAACAAAAACCATTCAAATTCATAAGACTTCTATTGATCATGAATCGATGCGGCAAAAAAAATTCATGGCATTTCTGTTTGTCTATGTTAAACAAATTAGATAAATACACATATTTTTAGATTATTTTATAATCAATCATATTTCCATGCTAAATTATTATTATTATTATTATTAAAAAAAGAATAGAAAATAATCTATCTAAGACAAGGTTAAAATAATCAATCTATTGAGTATGTGTTCTAATATAAATCAATACAATTAAAGATTTGTTGATTACTTTTGAGCATCTTTTCCACAATAAATCTAAAATATTACAATAGATTTAGTGAAGAAACGTATCGAGCAAAAGAGAATATAAAACTTACCATAACTTTAATGGCTTGTCCACTTTCAGCCATTTGAAAAGCTTGAACAGATTCTTTTATATTATATCGATGTGTTATCAATGGTTTAACGTCAATTCTACCAGATGCAATCAAACTTAATGCAGCTGGATAACAATTTGCATAACGAAATACACCACGAATATCAATTTCACGAACAGCAGCATTTACAATTGGTAACGATACTAATGGACGTCCAAGACCAACAAGAACTACAACACCACCTGATATTGTTGCCTATATTCGGAAAATAAAATAAAAATATTATATTTCTATTTTAATATTCAGCGAAATTAATTACATAGAATGTTGCTTGAATAGATGATTCAGCACCTGAACATTCAATTGATATACGTGGCATAGATCCAAGTGTTTCTATTACACGTTTAGCTGTTTTTTCGGCATCATTATCAGCAAGAACAACATGAGTAGCTCCAACTTTCTTTGCAAAGTCAAGTCGAGATTGACTAATATCTTTGTATTTTTTTAAATATAATACAATAAGATAAAAATGAAACAAAAAAATATTCTTACCCGTCATAATAATTGCATCAGCACCCATTGCTGTCGCTGCCAACATACTCACAAGACCAATTGGTCCTTGAAATATATATATATATATATATAGATTTTATATTGCATATATATATTTATTATTAAATATTTACCAGCTCCAGTTATGA